TTAGTGCCATTGGTGAGGAAACAGAGGTAGAGGAAATGAATAAGCCTGTAAATGAGGCATACACTGAGATAGGCAGTCGTGCTGGGGGGGGGGGCAGGTGAAAAAGGGAAAGTGGGAAGAAAAAGTCAGTCTGTGAAAGGGAAAGGCAAACAAGGAACAAAAAAGAATTAGAAGAAAAAGAAGAAAAAACAAAAGAGGTGTGGTAAAATGGAAGGCTGTTGGAGGAGAGAAAGAGAGGAATAATGAGAACAGGAGATGAAGAAAGAGTTGAAGAGAAAATGGAAAAAGAAGAGAGAGAGAGAGAGAGCAATGTCTAAAAAGAAGAAGAAATGAAGGAGAGAAAATATAAAAGTAAAAATCAAGGAAAAAAGGTAAAGTAAAAGGTAAAGGTAAAGAAAAAGTAGAGAAAAGAAAATGAAGGAAAAAAAGAAGGAAGGAAGGAAGGAAGGAAGGAAGGAAGGAAGGAAGGAAGGAAGAAGAAGGAAGGAAGGAAGGAAGGAAGGAAGGAAGGAAGGAAGGAAGGAAGAGGAAGGAAGGAAGGAAGGAAGGAAGGAAGGAAGGAAGGAAGGAAGAGGGGAAGGAAGGAAGGAAGGAAGAAGGAAGGAAGGAAGGAAGGAAGGAAGGAAGAAAGAAAGGAAGAAAGAAAGAAAGGAAGGAAAAGAAAGAAAAAGGAAAGCAAGGAAGGAAGGAAGGGAGGAAGGAAGGAAGGAAGGAAGGAAGGAAAGAAAGAAGCAAAGGAAAGCAAGGAAGGAAGGAAGAGAGGGAGAGAGGGAGGAAGGAAGGAAGAAAGGAAGGAAAGAAGCAAAGGAAAGCAAGGAAGGAAGGATAGAAGGAAGGAAGGAAGGAAAGAAGCAAAGGAAAGCAAGGAAGGAAGGAAGGAAAGCCGGAAGGAACAAATGAATAAAGAAATGAAAAATGAAATGAGGGAGGAAGAAGCAAACAAAGGAATGAAGAACAGAATGAAAACAGAATAGAAGAAAACAATGGAGAAAAGAAAGAAAGAAAGAAAGAAAGAAAGAAAGAAAGAAAGAAAGATAATGAAAGCAATGAAGGGAGAAAGAAAGAAATGTAAGGAGGGGATAGAAAAAAGAAAAAAGAATCTGAGTAAGGAAGGAAAAAAAAATGAATGAAAGTAAAGAAAAAATTAAACAATGGAGGGAGAAAAGATGAAAAGAAAGAAAAAATAGGAATGAAGGAAGACAAAAACAAAGAAGAGTAGAATGAAAGAAAGAAATGAAAGAAAGAAACGAAAGGAAGGAGTATGGAAGAAAAGAAGGAAGGATGGAAGGAATGAAGAGAGAAAGGAAGGCAGAAAGAAAGAAAATAAAGAAGGAAGAAAAGAAATTAATAAGTGAATAAGGAAGCAAGAACAGAGAACTGAGGGATCAAAAATGAAAAATAAAAAAAGGGAGGCAAACACAAAGAAAGGAATGAAAAAAAGAAAATGGAATCTAAGAAGGAAAGATAAAAATGACAGAAAGAAGACAAAAGATAGAAATAAAGAAAAGTGGTACAGACAAAAATATGGAAGGAAAAAAATGGATGATGGGAGAATATGGTGGCGTAAACAAAGAAAAAAAGAATCAAGCTGAAGAGTGCATAGAATGGCAGAGAAAGAGACAGATGAACCATGAAGAAATTAAAAAATGTTGATAAAGACCAAAGAAGAAGAAAGCAAAGGAAGAATAAGGAGACTGAATATAAAAATGAATGAAGGAATGTAAAAAGAAAATAAAAAAGTATTTAAAAAGAAAAACACACTACAGTGAGAAGGAAAAATGGGAAAATTAAAATGGAGGCAATGTGAATTAAAAAAAAAGGAAGGAGAAATGTTTTATTCTTGATTTTATTCCAGTCACTTTTCCTTTGTTTATTTTCATTCCTTGTTTTTTTGTCATTTTATATTTTATTATTCCCACCTTCTTCATTTTTCTTTTTACAAATTCATTATTTTATAAATCCTTTGTCAATTCCTTATTCATTTTTGTCAGTTTTCGAATATTTATTTATTAATAATTCCTTCTTTTGTTGAGTTTTTTTTCTGTCTTTTTTCTTCTTTCTTTCTTTCTTTGTTTTTCTCTTTCTTTCTTTCTTTTTCTCTTTCTTTCTTTATTTCTTTCTTTATTTTTCTCTTTCTTTGTTTTTCTCTTTCTTTCTTCCTTTTTCTCCTTCTTTGTTTTTCTCTTTCTTTCTTGTTTTCTTTCTTTTTCTTTTCTTTCTTTCTTTTTTTATTTTTCTTTCTTTCTTTCTTTTTTGATTTTTCTTTTCTTTCGTTCTTTCTTTTCTTTCTTTCATTCTTGCTTTTTCTTTTCTTTCTTTCTTTCTTTCTTACTTCTTTTTCTTACTTCTTTATTTCTTTCATTCTTTTCTTTATTTCCCTTCTTTTGTTTATTTTTTCTTACTTTTCTTTTTTACTTCTTTCTGCTATTTTCATTCTTTCTTTTTCTCTCTATCTCTTTCTTCGTTCTTTCTCTCTTTCTTTCTTTCTTTCTTTTTAATCTCCAAAGTGTATTATTGCTTTTAATGGAAATATTGCAAAAAAAATATTCATTCTTGCCAAAGACCCAGGTATATAGATCGTAGGTTTTTAATATTGATGTGACATAAAGGAAAGATTTTTTGTGACACATTTTGTCCTTTCAGACTTCATCAGACTAAAGTGATGTTTTTGTTGATGTGACATAAACAAAATAGGATGCTGAGAGATTTTTAATTTAAATTTTTTATTTTTTTTTAAATATATGTTTTGTGTATATAGTCTAATCAATTTCATTTATTTTTTTTTGTTGATGTTTCTATCAATTCTCTTAATAAGTATCCCACATTGTGAGATTAGAATATCTGCCAAGAAAGGCAAAATATTTTAAGAACTATGACGCAAATTTATTGCTGATGATCAAGTGATTACAGCTCTTTCTAAAAGTTTAGAAAATTGCTTTCTCTTTTCATGAGAGTAAAAAAATAATTTAATTTAAAATTTCTCAGCATTCCATTTCATTGATGTACATGTATAGTTGCATTGACGTAATCATCACTTTAGTTTGATGAAGTCCTAACGGACAAATCATGTTGCATGAAAACTTTTTTCCAATTTTTCTATAGTTTTTCTTCACATATATCTTCGTCATTGAACTGGCAAATATTGCAGATATTCTAAGATGATTTCAATGCTACTCATTCTTTCAAACTTACCCAGGAAACCTTATCCACCTTGATCCAACTAAATAATCACCCCCACCTCCATAAAAATGACAGTGCTCAGCTTTTTCTTACTCACACCCTCCAGGTGACCCCCCGCCACAAACCATTTTCCATTTTCTGCAATATCACATGAACTGACTGCACATCAACTACCCAATCAAATTTTCCATTTTATTAAGCAATATATCTGAAAGCTTTCCAACTATAAATCCTTCTCTCTTTTACGGAATTTTTGTCTTTCAACTTCCCATTTCTTTTCCGTTGTCTCCAGGGTGGCAGCTCAACCTGCAAATGGGGTGGGGTAATGGAGAACCTCATTGCAGACTGGCTTGTCTGTCAACTTTATGGTATTGTGACATTTGAAAATGTTTCCACTTGGCTAAGTTTTTATTGGCATTACAGTGGGTAGTTGCCGGCATTTCAGAAGAGAAATAACAAGCTGATTGACTAGAAGACCACCCCTATATCCGGTAGACTCACTACTTAAGATTGCCTGCTTCCTCTCATTCATCTGTCTTCATCTTCATGGATATCTCCTCTCTCTTTTCTATTCGTTTATCCTCATTTCTCTGCTGTCATTCTTAATACTTATCTATCTATCTATCTATCTATCTATCTATCTATCTATCTATCTATCTATCTATCTATCTATCTATCTATCTATCTCAGTCTGTTCATACCAATATCATATTCTTCATATCTATCTATCTCAGTCTGTTCATACCTATATCATATTCTTCATATCTATCTATCTATCTATCTATCTATCTATCTATCTATCTATCTATCTATCTCAGTCTGTTCATATGGATATATTCTTTATATCTATCTATCTATCTATCTATCTATCTTAGTCTTGTCATACCTATATCATATTCTTCATATCTATCTATCTATCTATCTATCTATCTATCTATCTATCTATCTATCTCAGTCTGTTCATACCTATATCATATTCTTCTATATCTATCTATCTATCTATCTATCTCAGTCTGTTCATATCTATATCATATTCTTCATATCTATCTATCTATCTATCTATCTATCTATCTATCTATCTATCTATCTCAGTCTGTTCATATCTATATCATATTCTTCATATCTATCTATCTATCTATCTCAGTCTGTTCATACCTATATCATATTCTTCATATCTATCTATCTATCTATCTATCTCAGTCTGTTCATACCTATATCATATTCTTCATATCTATCTATCTATCTATCTATCTCAGTCTGTTCATACCTATATCATATTCTTCATATCTATCTTTCTATAATTATAAACAAAAAGGAAACTTATCAGTCTAACATGTTTTACTTTTATTAAAACTTTGTCAGAGACTGAGAAATGGATAAAGAAAGAAATTCTGGTATTTTTACTTTTGTGTTGTTTGATTTTCATTGGTCAGTCATGTATCACATGCATTCAACTTTTTTAAACCAATGTTAATATAATTTGCAGTCTTCCAATTCAATGAGAGATGACAAGTGCATGTAAATTTTCAAGAAATTAACAGATTCCAAGCCTACTTGAAAAAATGTAAATATTGTTATATACATGTAAGTTTATAAAAATTCTAGTTTGTCTATGTGGGCATCAGATGTATATTCATAATTGTGTATCCTTATATCGAGTAGATATTATGCATGTTGATTTTTCATATGTCGATTTGGGAATGTTTTTATAAACACACCATTTTAGACAAATTTATGTTAGATTCTTCAAGAATGTATTCACTAAAGGTTGGTGATGTTATACAATGTTTTTTAGGTGTGTTTGTAGTTGGTAATATTGTTATTATTACGTAATCAAAGTATTTTCTCCTTAAAAAATTATGATCTTTTTTAATTAAGGTGGCATTAATAAAATCAATGTTATGGCCAATTTTGTTCTTGTGTATTATGAGAGAATTTGAATTGTAGTCGAAACGTAAATCTCTTTTGTGCTCATATCTGTCTTTCTCATTATCTATGTCAGTCTCTTCATATCTGTCTATTTCAGTCTGTTCATTATCAATCTATCTCAATCTTTCCCTTCAATTATCTATCTAAATTTTTTCATATCTATCTATCTATTTATCTACCTATCTATCTTACATTCTACCATCATGGTAATTATCTATGTACATTTGTTCATATCTATCTATCTATCTATCCACCAGCATGGTAATTATCTATCTACATTTGGTCATATCTATCTATCTATCTATCTATCTATCTATCTATCTATCTATCTATCTATCTATCTACCATCATGGTAATTATCTATCTACATTTGGTCATATCTATCTATCTATCTATCTATCTATCTATCTATCTATCTATCATTCCACCATCATGGTAATTATCTATTTTCATTTGTTCATATCTATCTATCTATCTATCTATCTATCTATCTATCTATCTATCTATCTATCTATCTAATGTTTATTGTAACACATTTGCATCTTGTAATTTTGGCAAATGCTTTTGTCCCTTTTATTGTCCAATAAAGTGTTTTTTTTTTTCTTTTTGTATATGTCATTCAAATGAGCCATTTGCTCATAAGGCACTAAGCATTTCTTTCAAAAGAATTTGTAATGAGAAATTCCTTTTGCATTCAACTAAACACTGAGCATTTCAATACTCAGAAGATTCCATTTATGTTGACATGTTGAAGACTCACCTGCACCTTGTTACAATTTCCATCATTTCATTCTCTCAAACTAAATCAATTTTTCATCACCAATAATTATCTTGTCAAAATGACTCCATTATGTTAGGTAAGAACTGAATGACAAGTATTTAAATGATGACCAATATTATTTTTTATCTGTTCAAGTCAAACAGATATTGTCATGTCTATTTTTTCCAGAGGCTTTTAAAGAAAGAATGACAATTAAATAACTGCAGAAGTGATAAAAACCTGAATAATTTTTCAAGATTTTTCTTTCTATTTTCAATTTCAATATAATGTAAAACAATCTGATACTTTCCCATTCAACAATCAAATATATATACATATATACATATGCCTGTGTATATCTCTTTCCATCTGCTCATATTTATATATATTATAATTATATATAATTATATATATATATATATATATATATACATTATGAAATACACAAAATCCGAGAATTATTTCAAGACATTTTTTATGTTTATACATTCTTTTTATAGATACAAATATTTAAGTAAATGCTCTGTCTATAATAAACAGTATTAACGACATTTACTGGCCTGAATGTTCAAGAAATTTTCATAGAAAATATGCGTCCTCCAACAGGAATCGGACCTGTATCCTATACAGAACCGTCATATAGCCTGACGTGCATTTACCAATTGAGCCACAGAGAAGTGTTTTGGTGAGCAAGGTTTATTTTACTGTATTTAAACTACAATTATCTATGATTTTCTATTGTACACTCATATCTGCTCAATGCATATCCAAATGTAAACAAATGACGTCCCACATTATGAAATGGACAAAGTTCGACAATTATTTAAAACATTTTTACGTCTATGAAAAGAATGTATAAACATAAAAAATATCTTAAAATAATTGTCTGACTTTGTCCATTTCATAATGTGTGATGTGACTCAATGACTAAAAATATGTCAGGTTATATGACAGTCCCATATACGATACAGGTTCGATTCCCGTTGGAGGACACGTATTTTCTATGAAAATTTCTCAGACATTCAGGCTGGTAAATGTCGTTAATACTGTTTATTATAAACAGAGCATTTACTTAAATCTTTGTATCTATAAAAAGAACATAAACATAAAAAATGTCTTAAAATAATTCTTTGATGAAAAAGACGATGGACATAAAAGCAATACCAATCCAAACTGATAACTGAAATCTTTTATAAGATCAGTGTTCCTTTTAAATATGATCACGTTGTCGTCACGTGGGCGATGTTGTGAAAACGTATTCCTAAAATTTGAGTATTTTGAATGAAAAACGAAAAGAATTTTATATTGGTATTGCTTTTATGTCCATCGTCTTTTTCATGTTGAATTGTATATGGTCTATGTTAATTATGTTTTATGAATATGTCCTGAAGATGGTCTATTAGACCGAAACGTCCGACGTTGACATTAAACATTAAAACAGCATAATCGCATATTAGGATTTTTGTTTGTTTTTTCAGTATATTTTTCTTCATACTGTTGTATCTATATCCATATATTTTTACATATATATATATATATATATATATATATATATATATATATATATATATATATATATATATAACTCTATCAAATGGGATCAGATACAGAACTAATATGGTTCAAAAAACAACAGAATGTAAGGGTCAAGAACAAATAAAAAACATTTATAAATAAATATACACAGGCATTCAGATATCCAATCCAAACTTTTCAGAGTGTTTTGGTGTCAATCTGAGGACAGTGTAGAGCATTCAGCAAAAGGTGGATTGATCTAATTGTGATTACAAAAGTATATCAACTTGAAAAACTCACGTTGATCCTTCTGATAAGAAAAGAACTCACAAATTTGTTGGTGAGGGTCTCAGACTCAATATAAAGTGCCTTGAGGAGGTAGTGCTGACCTGGGGTTAGAGGGTGGCTGCTAATACACTTTATGTCTGGCAACATGACTCTGCAGTGTACCACACAAGCAGGCAAATCCAGTCATGGTTGTCAGACAATTTTTGTGACCACATTTCTGCTTACATTAGGTCACCTAACTCCCCAGACTGCAAACCACCTTATTTATTATATGTGAGGCACACTTGTAACACCAAAGATGATGGCACAGGTTATGGCATCATTCACCAACTTAAGCAAGAAGACTGTCCAGAAGAGTTGCAAGAGATTCCAAAGTCATTTGGAGGCTATGGTGGAAGCCAGTTGTGATTTTATTGAATAAATTTACTCTTTATAATTTCAATTTTTGTGTAATTTTGGTAAATATATTTGTTAAAATGAGATGTCAATTTTATTTTCATTTTTGCATAATTTAGACAACTTATCCACCACACCCTGGATAGATAGATAGATACGAACAGGCAGGGATAGATAGATAGATAGATAGAAACAAACTGGCAGAGATAGATAGATAGATAGATAGATAGATAGATAGATAGATAGATAGATACATACAAACTAGCAGGGATAGATAGATAGATAGATAGATAGATAGATAGATTAATGGGGCAAAGTAGGATTCATATTTTTGTGTAATTTTGGTAAAAATATGTTAAAATGAGATGTCAGTGTTATTTTCTTTTTTGAGTCATTGAGAAAAAAAATTATCCATCTCACCCTGTATTCACACACACAAATATATATATATATATATATTTTAATACATTTTTATGTTTTATACATTCTTTTTGTAGATACAAATATTTAAGTAAATGCTCTGTTTATAATAAACAGTATTAAACAACATTTACATTTTTCGGACATTCAGGCTGGCAAATTTCATAATGTGTGATGTCATTTCTTTACATTTGATACGCCATAAGCAGGTATGAATGTATGTGAGAGATTCATAGAAGACTGATGTTCAAATAGAGTAAATTTGACCTTGCTAACCGAACGCTCCTCTGTGGCCAAATCGGTTAAATGCATTTCAAGCTAAATGACGGTTCCATATAAGATACAGGTTCGAATCCTGTCGGAGGCTGAATATTTTCTGTGAAAATTTCTCAGACATTCAGGCAGGTAAATGTTTAATACTGTTTATTATAAATAGAGCATATACTTAAATATTTGTATCTATAAAAAGAATGTATAAACATAAAAATGTCTTAAAATAATTGTCGGACTTTGTCCATTTCATAATATATATATAAATATAAAAGTGAACATAGAAGTCAACACTTAGAGGCGACAGTCTGTTTCATTGCATATAGCATGAAACAGACTGTCGCCTCTAAGTGCTGACTTCTATGTTCACTTTTATATTTACACACGCTGTATCTCTGATATTGAGCAAAAAAAAAAAAAAAAAAAAAACTTACATATGTATATATAACGGAGTGTGAGGGGAAAATTTGAAACACACTAGAGAATAATGACGTGAAGGCCAAGGAGACAATCTATATATATAGGAATTTGAAAGAAAATTGCTTCATATTAATCCATTTCATAATATGCAATAAATGATTACTTTAAGGTATGTTTCGTGAGGAGATGTGATCATTTGGGAAAGATTGTCTAACATTTCCTGTTTAAAAACAGTAATTCAGACTTTGCTAACCAGACATTTCTTTGTAGTTGAATTTTTAACAGCCCATCAGATCAAATAATCGTTCCCATTGGGGTTACAGGTTCGATGCCTGTCAGAGAAGCACATATTTTCTACAAAATTTCTTGAACATTCAGGCCAGTAAATATAATTAATACTGTTTATTGTGAAAAAAAACCGGAGAATTTGCTTAAATAAATTGTATCTCATAATATAATGTATAAACAGAAAATATATTAAATAGTTGCCGGATTGAATCCATTTCATAATATATATAAATATACTGATATTCTCTTTATATCTAGTTCATATATATATATATATACATATATATATAATAAGATAAAAACAAATAGGAAAAATTTATATACAGTGTAACCCGGATATAAGAGACCCTGATATAAGAGAAACCCGGATATAAGAGAAATTTTCTCTGGTCCCAAATTAGAGCCTGTGTTAATGTATAATAAATAGACCAAACCCGGATATAAGAGAAACCCGGATATAAGAGACGTCTTCTCCGGTCCAGACAACTCTCTTATATCTGGGTTACACTGTATCTAACATATTTCACTTTTATTGCAATAAAAGATAAAAGTGAAAGTTTTTTCCTATTCTTTCTTTATCTACCATATATATATATATATATATATATATATATATATATATATATATATATATATATATATATATATGTATATCATCAATCTGTGATAGATAGATAGATAGATAGATAGATAGATAGATAGATAAAAAAAAAATGAAATAGATGTGCAAAGACTGATAATGATAAATAGCTGGTCTGACATTAGCCTTGGAAATAATTTCCAATAAAAATGCACAGAATTTTTCTTTCTGGTTAAATATCGTCATATAAATTTGTGCTCACATTTAATATTAAGAAACAGTTGACCCAAATATATTCAAGTCAGATAAGCAAAGATCCTTTCCTAATTTAGAATCTCAAAGAGCCATGATATATATATATATATATATATATATATATATATATATATATATATATATATATATATATCCCTTCAATGCTTTTACACCAACAGCAACTTCATAACTCATATTTAATCCATGCCGATTAATATACCTGTGGGGCTCCCATATGTCTTTCCCATCACTGTCAGCTGAACATCATTAACACCATCAAGAATGCATCAGCCCAAAGCCAAAACCAAATCAGTCAAGGTTAAAAGTGAAAGTGAAAGTGAAAGTAGTAAGGACAAGTGCAAGCGACAGGATATTGGCCGCATGACTGTACTGAATTAACTTTTACTCAGCTGTGAACCACTGGCGACAAAAATAAATATAAATGCTTGAGTATGGGCATAACTTATTGCTTTTGGATTATTTTATTTTATTTTATTTTTTTTGATCGGTGTTTATTTTTTTGTTATTGTTGATGATGATTTTTGATTCTTAATGGAATTAACAGTGAATGGATGGTTGCTCTCTGATATGGGGGACTTCTTTTTTGGATATATGCCCAAATAATTCTTAAATATCTCCTTGAAATTTCAGGCAGGGAGCAGGATGGAGATGATTACCTTAGGGAATTATTAACAAGGAACTATTTTTTTTTACACGTTTCTTTTTATCATTTAACCTTCTTTTCTTTCATTTCTTCCTTGTCTTTTTCCTTGTTCTTCACTTTCTTTTTCCCTTTAAATTTTTCTTCTTTTTTTTTTAATATTTCTTTCTTTCTTTTTTCTTGTTCCTCATTTTTTCCTTTCTTTTGATTTTTTTATTTTTGTTTTTTTCTTCTTTAAACCATCATATCTCTTAATCTTTCTTTAACTTTTAATTTTTCACTCTTTTTTTCTCCTTCACATTTAATGTTCTTCCCCTTACTTTTCTTTTTCTTTCTCTTTCAAGTCATCACCTTTTCCTTTCTTCTTTCAATTATTTCTTGTTCCCCACTTTTCTTTTCCTTTAAATTTTTTGTTCTTTTTCTTTTTATTTATTCTTTCCCTTTCTTCTTCTTCTTCTTCTTCTTCTTCTTCTTTTCCTTTCCGTTTCTTTTTCTTCTTCCCATTTTTCTTCTAATTCTTTCCATTTCTTCTTTTTCTTCTTCTTCTTCTTCTTCTTCTTCTTCTTCTTCTTTCCATTTCTTTTTCTTCTTTCAATTTCTTCTTCTAATTCTTTCCATTTCTTCTTATTCTTTTTCTTCTTCTTTCCATTTTTTCTCCTTCTTTCCATTTCTCTTCCTACTTCTTTTTATTTCTTCTTTTTTCTCCTTCATTCCATTTCTTCTTCTTTCTATTTCTTCTACTTCTCTCCATTTCTTTTTTTCTTCTTCTTTCCACTTCTTCTTCTTCATCTTTCCATTTCTTTTTCTTCTTTCCATTTCTTCTTCTTCTTCTTCTTCTTCTTCTTCTTCTTCTTCCATTTCCTCTTTCCATTTCTTCTTATTCTTTCTATTTCTTCTTCTTCTCTCCATTTCTTCTTATTCTTTCTATTTCTTCTTCTTCTCTTCATTTTTTCCTCTTTTTCTTCTTTCCATTTTTTTCTTATTCTTTGCATTTCTTCTTCTTCTCCATTTCTTCTTCTTCATCTTCTTCTTGTTTTTTCTTCTTCCTTCCATTTCTTTTTCTTCTTCTTCTTCTTCTTTTTTCTTCTTCTTCCTTCCATTTCTTCTTCTTCTTCATCATCTTCTTCTTCCTTCCATTTCTTTTCTTCTTCTTCTTCTTCTTCTTATTCTTCTTCTTCTTTCCATTTCTTCTTCTTCATCTTTCCATTTCTTCTTATTCTCTCCATTTCTTCTTCTTCTTCTTCTTTCCATTTCTTCTTCTTCTTCTTTCCATTTCTTCTTCTTCTTCTTCTTTCTTCTTCTTCTTCCTTCCATTTCTTCTTCTTCTTCTTCTTCTTCTTCTTTAAACAGTTATCTATATTTACATTTCCTTTTTTAGGTTCTGCCTTTTTCCATTCTTTTTCCTATCACTTTTCCTCTTTTCATCTTGTTTTCCTTTCTTTTTCTTCTTTTTCTTCTTCTCCGCCCTTTTGGCTTTATTTCATCAATACTTTCATATGCATGTCATACATGAAACAAAAACTCATTCCCAAATTTTTATTATGATAACTTCTTGGCCAGTCTAAGAACTTTCCAGCCTCCTATCATGCATATGTAAACATAGCTCTCTAACTCTTGTTTTTTCATGTGTTTTTATAGGAAACAACAGTCTCCTTCTCAATTCGACATACAAGACCATGTTAGTAAACCTGTGGTCATTTTTATGAATGGGTCTGTGCTGTTAGCATTAAGAGAAACTGCCATGAAAGGTCAAGGCTCAAATAAGGATTGCATATTTCTTGTTTGGGTTTCATTAAATCTATATCTGCTAGCTTTTTTTGTAGCCAAGATGTGAACACAGTAATTTTGAAGTTGATCTTTGACAAACTTGTTCCCTTGAAGCCGCTAAAAAATGGTGTGTCAAAAGAACGGTCTTTCCCTTGACACTGCTATTATTTTTAACTACCTTCACTCCTTGGCAGTGTTTATTTTTTATTGCTTTAAAAAGTGATGATTAGAATTGTAATAAAACCTAAATAATATTTATAATTTTTCTTTGTTCTTGAGAATAGAAAACAAAAATAATAAACAATATTTATTTATTAAATTGTTTATTTACATTATCTATTTTATTATTTATTGGAATGGTTTACAAAGCATCAGCTAATTGTCAGTAGATTCAAACTTTATTAAATGATAAATAATAAGGATTTGCTTATAGTTGGTTGTACATATTTTAATAATTTAGTAAATGTTTGCAAATTTATGAATAAAAAATTTTGATATTTATTTTTCTATAAATTGGTAAATGATAAATATTGCATTGCATTAATTCTAATACAATTTTATTAGTTTTTAGAATGTTGTAAATTATTCTTGAAAATAAATGATATAAAAAATAAATTGTGTTTAATATTTTGTGAAAAAAAACTGTAAATTTACTAAATTTCTAATCATCCCGTCTTCAAACAATAAACATTGCCAAGGAGTGAAGTTGTCAAGGAAAACACTGTCCTTTTGTCATACTGTGATTTTTGTGGGGTAAAGATTGACAAAAAAGATTTATTTTAACTATCTTCACACCTTGGCAATGTTTATTGTTTCAAAAATCTATGATCAGAATTTTAATAAAGCTAAACATGAAAGAGAATTTATACATTTTCTTTTTTCTTGAGAATTTACAACATAAATATAAACACTATTTATTAGTTTGATTATTCACACTATTTATTAGTTTGATTATTCACACTATTTATTAGTTTTATTATTCACACTATATATTAGTTTGATTATTCACACTATATATTAGTTTGATTATTCACACTATTTATTAGTTTGATTATTCACACTATTTATTAGTTTGATTATTCACACTATTTATTAGTTTGATTATTAACACTATTTATTTACTAAATTGTTTACTGGAATGATTAGCAAAACATTGACTAATTACCAATTGATCTGAACTTTATAAAATGATAAATAATAAGTATTCCCTCATAGTTGGTTTGCATATTTTCATAATTTAGTAAATGTTTATAAATTTATGAATAAAAAGTTTTTTTCCGATTTATCTCTGTCTATAAAAGGCAGGATGTGTGTGTGTGTGTGTAACGAATGCATGGCTGCAATTTTCAACGGATTTGCACCAAAATTTACATGCACATGCTCCAAGTTATTGGAAAGGCCAAGACTGACATTACATTTCCCAACTCCCATTGATAGTCCAAATAAACGATTTTTTTCATGCTACTATTGCAGTTTTCATGTAGTTTGTGGCCATTTTCTACTGGCCAGAGTGAGAGCCTATTGCTGGCTGCCACGAATAGGCAGGAAGATTCTATTAGACAGCGTGAGAGCCAACAGCTGACTGACATGAATGTTAACTAGAATGCTAGCATGCAAAAAAAAAAATCAATAGCTGCATTCGTCTCAAGTGGGAAAAATTTAAATCTGCATGGCACTTTACTCTAATTGGCTCATTCGCTTGCTTAAACTCAACGTTGATTCTGATTCCGCAGAACTGGGTTGGGTGTGAAAAAGTAATTGTTGTTAACATTCTTTTTTCATTCAGTTTTTCCAGTTACGAGTCCTTTTTTAAAGCTGATTGTTTTGTGTTCATTTTGTTTAGTTCTTTTTTCGTAACAGATTTAATGTTTAGTATAGAGCTTAGAAAAAATTTGTGGTGTGAGATAGGCAAGAAGTAAGGCATGTAGCAACATCAGCACGGTAAAGGTCACTCCTTTAAAGGTAAGGAAGGGCAAAAATATTTTAAGTCAAGTGATAGCGATTGCTGTATGAGTCGTACAATTTTTTGAATCAAGCCCTGGCAACGGCGGGCCATGCTGCTAGTTTCTTTATAAATTGGTAAATGATAAATATTGCATTGCATTAGTTTTAATTGTATTAGATTTTAGAATGTTGTAAATGTAGAATTATTCATGAAAATGATGCACCATATTCCTCGGTCCATTATCTACCTATTCCCCGGATTATTTTCCTTTGTGACTTTTTCATCTTCAAAAATCAAATCTTAGTATTAACAACTTTAACCAACCTGAATATTCGAGACATTTCAAAGAAAATGTGTCCTCCGACACATCCTTTTTAGCTTTCTCTGTAAGTAAATGGTACAGCATGTCAGGCTATATGGCATTTCCATGTAGGATACAGTTTTGATTTCTGTTGGAGGACATATTTTCTTTCAGATTTTTTGGACATTCAGACCGGTAAATGTTGTTAATACTGATTATTATAAACAGGGCATTTAATTAAATATTTGTATCTATAAAAACTAACATATAAACAATATATATATATATATATATATATATATATATATATATGTTTTTTTTGGGGGGGGTTAAGTGTTTCACTCCAAGCAAGGCGGGAAGCCACTAGGACGCAAGGGGTTACAGAAAATTTGGAGCAAGATCAGAGAGGAGTGATAGAAGAAAGGATGAGGAGAAGGGTAGTGGATAGATCAAGGCAACTGGGGATGTCGATTGACATTACATTTGAATAGCTGGAGATTATAGCTCTCAGGGAAACTGGAATAGGGAAGGGAGTTCCACAAACGAGAGGTGCAAGACATGAAGCTATTGGAGTAGAAGAGACGGCTACATTTAGGAGTTTCGACAGTGAAGGGGTGAGAGCAGAATGACAGCCTCGTACCACCATTTATATATATATATATATATATATATATATATATATATATATATTGATATATCCGGAAAGGGATATATTTGATTGAAGTAGCTATGTGGTTTTGGCTACTGTAACCAAGTAGCACACAGTAGCAGTAATCGACTGGTACTCATCATAGTCACAGGCAATAAGTGTAGACCAATAGAATAGCCAATGGTGTAGTCCAATGGGCGTCATCATAGACTAAAACTCTGTCGTACCTACATGCTCATCTGTATTTATGATGGACATCCATCAGCCAATCAAATTCCAGTGAGGGGGAACACAGGTGTATGCATATTCCATTATATCATAAATTCACAGAGACTCATTTGCCACCTACTGAACCAGCGTGCCATGAGACAACAGATTAATAAGACCCGCATAAGAATTACAGTAACATTTGACAGCTACTTACAAACAATATCCAAAATCAAACAGTAAAAATGTTCCGAATGTCCTGGAAGCAATACATCAATACATAAAAACAAAAAAAATTATTATAACTAAAGAGCCTGAATCATCAAATGAATATACAAAATTTTTAAAATAATAAAATAAATATACACATCAGATCTTGGCTACATCACAACACTCACTGTTTATCACTGTTTACCATAATCAAAAGCTTGGACCATATTTCTTTCAAAATTCACTTTGAACCTTATACAATGAAATAACTGGAATAATATATTTCTCCAATTTTTTAATTTCTTTTCTGCAGGTCTATTTTTGGATCTTTCTATAAATTGCATTTACAGCTGCTTTCATCTTGCTTGAAGCGCTTGTGACATTTATCTTGCATCAGAGTTTGTCAAAATCACAATTCGGCAAACGATTTATAGATTAAAGTCTAATTTTACATCAGTATGTGAGAAATGTCCGTTATTTTATTGTGATTGTTATTTGCAGAATTGTAGGATTTAATATCAATATTAACATCTATTTCTGGGAATTTTGGCAGGAGCAATGACACATTGGTAAAGTTCAGAATATACCTTGTCATTGAAGGAATATTGGTCACATCAAAGGCCAAAAAAAGAAAAAAAGGTGAGAATATAATATTGCTAAGTGATCAATCTATTAGAACACACACACACACATATATTATATTATGCAGTCATCTATCTATCCATTTATATACATATATATACATACACATACACAAATACACGCAAACACACACACACTCGCCCATATATATTGAGCCCTCAGTTTATTTTATATTTTAAGATTTTAGCTTATGTTAAACTTTAGCTTATATTTTTTGTATATATATATATATATATATATATATATATATATATATATATATATATATATATATATATATATATATATATATATATTATTTAAAAAAAAAATATGATTCCTTCTTATATAATTATAATTTAAGCTCTACTTCTGTATGGAGCACTGTTTTTAAAAAATTAAAAACGAAAATACTAAAGAACTCCGGATTATTTACCTAACATGTTCTTTCCTATTTTTCTACATATCTGCATATATATATATATATTTTCTACATATCTGCACCTATATATATATATATATATATATATATATGTATTTGTGTGCATGTGTGTGTGTGTGTGTGTGCATGTTAAAGTTCTCAGAATAAATCTGTAGAGACGACAAATTGAATAAAATAGACAATTGGAAAATAGTACTTAGTACTTGCTGGTATGTTCCGCCATTTGAATTTATCAA